TATTACCGGTAATCCAAATGTCACATTACAACAGAAAACACCGTTTTGGTTTCCTTACTATAGCTGCCTGAAGTGGTAGAGAAACATCCAATAAAGAATAGACTCAGTGTGAAGTCGTACTGCATCCACAAAAATGTTTTCTCTCGTCGAATTTAATGATACACATCTAAACACTGCCAGGTAAGATTGAGTCACATATCTTCCGAATTATGTTTTATTCCGAGAAATATCTAGTTAACAAGACACGATTTATCATTTGTGTACAATTTGTAATCAAAGGTGAATTTTTTTTTTTCAAACTCACAAGAGATATTTTATAAGATGATTTTGTGAGATCGTTATACCCAATTAACAGATTCAATGAAAAACACTAGTAATAAAATAAAACTTCTCTGTCTGAATGACACCAGCAACTTATTTGGACCATCCAGCTTGTATGTTTGCTTCCCAACCATGGTTTAATTACGCCACATTTGCTTATATAATTTTGTAATTCTGAAATAAAGCCATTTAGACTAATATCATTTGATCATGCCCAGTAATCCTGCTTGCATTCTGGCAAACAAGTTAATTTAACATGTCAAACACAAACACTTTAGAAATAAGTATCTACTTTAACATGTCAAACGCAGCCTGTTTAGAAATGAGTTACCTACTTTAACATGTCAAACACAGTCCCTTTGGAAATGTGTATCTACTTCAACATGTCAACCACAGACCTTTTGGAAATAAGTATCTACTCTAACATGTCAAACGCAGCCCTTTTAGAAATGAGATCTACTTTAACATGTCAAACGCATACCTTTTAGAAATGAGTTATCTACTTTAACATGTCAAACACAGACCCTTTTATAAATGAGTTATCTACGTTAATATGTCAAAGGCAGCCCTTTTAGAAATGAGTTATCTACTTTAACATGTCAAACACAGCCCTTTTAGAAATGAGATATCTACTTTAACATGTCAAACGCAGCCCTTTTAGAAATGAGTTATCTACTTTAACATGTCAAACACAGACCCTTTGGAAATGAGTATCTACTTCAACATGTCAACCACAGACCCTTTGGAAATAAGTATCTACTCTAACATGTCAAACGAAGCCCTTTTAGAAGTTAGTTATCTACTTTAACATGTCAAGCGCAGCCCTTTTGGAAATAAGTATCTACTCTAACATGTCAAAGGAAGCCCTTTTAGAAATGAGTTATCTACTTTAACATGTCAAACACAGACCCTTTGGAAATGAGCATCTACTTTAACATGTCAAACGCAGCCCTTTTGGCGATGAGTATTTTCTTTAACATGTCTAACACAGCCGTTGTGAAGACGAGTATCTACTTTTAATTTCTGTTGTGATCGACTGGTGAAGCTGTAGGTCAGTATAAGTAAGTCGGTAAAGAGCCCTTTACATGCACATGGTGCATCGGGCACAATTTGTGTGTGTGTATAGAACGACCCACACTTGGTAGAGGATGCGGTCAACATCACATCGATCGCCTTTACCTCCCCGGGCACAACCTTTCAGCATTTTAGGCTTGATCGATTAACTAGGGGATTTGGCCGACGCCCAACACTCAAAGGTAAGGCGAGACGGATATACAATCAGACAGTTACTAGTACCTTCGGAATTGGATCTCTTCTTTTACTGCCGAAGATAGGGGCGGAGCATTTATGGAAGTGTTTCGAGGTATGTGATGTTGATTCCTAATTCAACATTCAACATTCAAAGCTGGATCTACATGGGAACAAGGTCAATTGAAAAAAAAAAAAAACGGCCTTAATGAGGATCTGAACTTTAGACCCACTGACCCAAAGGCGTGCGTCTAGAAGCTAAGCTACCCCGGCTCTCGTCATTATAGGTACGTTGTGTGAGTTCCCGAAGATCATATATGCCAAAATTACTCTATGTGCGCACTAAAGTTTGGTGATTCGTGACCTGTAACGGGAACAGCACCACAGAATAACATATTACAGGATAAAGTCAATTTTCCTTCTGGGAGGTTCTACAGTCTCCTTTGTAGTTAGAGAGCAATTCTGACCGTGGATTTGAAGCTATACAAAAGACATGGCTAATAAAGACACCTTTGTGGGTGGGGGTGTTCCTATTTGGCCAGCGTCTCAGTAACACTTGTTCTATACCGAAGCGTATTAGTCAGTTGGAGGCGATAGGTTCGATTCCGGCCATGGTAACTGCAGCTTCAGATTTTTATGTTGTCTAGTTCAGTGGTTCTTAAACTTGTTTCGCCGCAGTACCCTTGTCAGGCAAAACAATTTTCGCGGCACACCTACCCTTAAAGTGGTTTGAATACTTAGGAGAAAGAGAAAAACAGTGCAAATTTGATGTTCAGTTGTCTTTAATACGATGAATAAAACTGTTTTGATAAATTTTTCATTATTTCCCTTGTGTATATGGAAAGTTTAGTAAATTTTACCCTCAAATCACTTGACCCAGAAACTGTGGTCCTGTATCGGTTTTTCATGTAAGCGTACATTAAGAATGCACTGCAGCCTTGCCAACAGCATTGTCTTCTCAATACACCTGCATCCAGAACTCTTCTTGGCTTCCTTTACGTTGTTTCTGTTTTAAACCGCTGTCTTCGCTGATCTCAAGCAGATTTTGAAAAAATTATTGATCATTGCCGTGGCACCCTTGGCATACGCTTGCGGCACCACAGGGGGCCGCGGCACCCAGTTTGAGAACTTCTGGTCTAGTGTATCCTTCTATCATTCTACTTCTTTCCATTAGGGCTAATCAATACATTGTCTGTTTGTTTATTATTTAGTGTATTTTCACAGCCTCGTGGGTTCACCATATGTTTGTTTATGTTTACTACTTGACAGCAATAAGGGCCAGTTTAATGTTATTTGGTATGTACCAAGTTGGATGAGGTCATAGTAACGGCAGTCCTTTTCTTCTTCCATGTTTACTGTATACACGGTGCAAGTTTAGTAGTCTTATTGACATCGATAAGCGATGTGTAATCATTATGACACAGTCTGCCTTTACTTCAATAATTTTACCCGTTGAAATGTAAGGCTGTTCGATCTAGAGATACTTATTCCTCTGTGTTCATAAAGAGACGTGAATGGGTTGTGCCCGTTTTTAACATCGCTGCAATATCTGCTAGAAACATCCGACTTGTGCAGACATTGTTGCACGGGGTAAGCCTCACCGGAAACTGGAAATACAAGCTGTTCTAGAAATACTGTAATAATAATACGTTTTAAAAAAAAAATCTTTCCTTTAAGCACATATATTAGCAACTGGCAACTAGTTAACATGCACGCAGATGTCTTCTGTGTATGAAAAACCATAATATAGTGGAGTTTAATTGTTTAAAAAAAAATCGGACTGACATCCGTGAATTAACCACAATATCGTAAAATAATTGATTAGTGCACCCTAACAGCTATTGCAGGATGGAAGAATTCCTCGGGACGCTCTCTATGGTGAATTAAAGATAGGTAGTAGATGTCGAGGCCGACCTATACTACGATATAAATATGTATGCTAGCAAGACACAAATGATACACGTTATGAGGTGGTTGCAAAGGCATAAAATACCACGAACCGCGTTGTATGGAGGGACCACATCAGGAATGCAATGAGAGTGAAGGAAGAAATAGCTGCAGAAAGGATGAGAGCTGGGCGTCTGAGAAACACATAAAACACAGATGCTGAGAACAACCGTCCTGACATCCCATGATATAACTGTGGAAGACCTTTCTCAACGCAGGCGGGTCTTGCTAGTCACACTCGCCATCGCCATGGGCTGTGAGTCCAATGCCTACTCATAGCAAAATATGGCACTTTTGTCTGAAAAGACGGAACTATGCCAATGAAAATGGGCCGACTGCATTCCCAAGTGGGTCTGATCTCTATCCCCTGGATATACAAACCTGGAATTGTAGGAGTAAATGGTAATGAAAGAGCCGACCAGCTGGCAAGTCATACACCAATGCAAACTTGAAGAGGCATGGACTGAGCTGATAACATCAACTTATCAAGTTGAGAGATACTTTTGAATCTCTAACGCTAACACGATTGTGTGACCTGGGAGTTTAAGCTTTGTGAAGCACGTCTGTGACGTCTTCGAAGATAGGAGATACTATAAACCAACTTTTCACGGGAACATTCAGTGTAGGTAACATAACGTGGCTGCTGTGTCGAAGGACTGGTCACGCATGATAATGCCCAATGTGCAAAAGAAGTCGATGGTGATAACATAATATAGCACCCTCTTTGACGAGAATTGACGTTTTTCAATGAAAAAAAAAAACGTTCTATCCAGATGATGCTGATGAGTAATTTACTAAATGGCAAGACTTCCCAATAGATATCCTAAAGGCCTTCTACCGCACAAGCTAATGATACTGCGATAATCGGGTTCACGATAAAGTCTAATGCTTATAAAACACAACCGAATCCTGCTGTCCAAAATACAATTAACAAAAATCGACTGATTTATTATGTGGCGTTGACGAAAGAAAATAAAACAGGTTGAACTGCCGTGAAAGTGGGAAAATTCAATCAATCAGGTGTCAGTCTGCAATAACGCATTGTCGCTTTAAATTTCTGACACGCATGCACTTGTTCTTGTCCTAGCTATTCATTCAGATTTTGTTCTTTCACCTATTGATGCTGTTCTTTCATGTGTTACAATGTCTACCTCTTGCTCGAAACCCCCCCCCCCCCCTCACAAAAAAAAAAAAAAAAAAAAAAAAAAAACCAGGGAAGCCAAGAAGGCACGAAAAATTGTCAAACACAAATGTTAACTGGATCAGTCTGTAAGTTAGAGACCCTTTTCCCAGGCTTCAGACATGTTAGGCATATAGGGCTAGACCGATATATCATAGACTAGTCAGCATTGTGTGAGACTGCCTATTTCGTGTGTGTACTAATCACGGTATTGAAATAGTTTAGCCAGCTAATGAGAATTAAACCAACAACGCCAGCAGCAATGGCGTACAACCTGAAAATCTAGACATCAAGAGGCAGGAGA